ATATAAACAGTATTATAGTGACAGCATTTTGTTGATTAGTTGGAATAGGATATCTGTAACTATAGTTGCATTAGCATGACTGGCAAGTCTGTGGCATCTGTATAACCTATTATACAGAGGAATACAAACCAGTACTAGGCAGTGCAAACCTAAAAATAAGTTCTTGAGCCATGTAAATCTGTAGAACTGGGAAGCTAGAGCCCACTTGGAAATTCTGAGCAGAGAGGTAACATGGATCTTTAACAGTACTACTGTAAAGGCTAGATCTAGGAAATAAATATCAATATGAGGGATTTGAGCAGGCAAGAACCTCAAGTGAGGGGTACCACCAACCAGGTTGCTGGATTTCAGATCAGAAGAAAAGGATATTAGGCCAGCCTCAATATACCAAGAACAGGTTACAGTCCTTCTAGGCTATCTGAATTAAGAGTCTAAGTTCAAAGCAGAGATATACTAAAAGTACTAGGAATATGCTGTGAAGTTAGTACTGGGGTTTGGATGAACACTATAAGAGTAGTCCATGTTAGTGTTCTAAAAGTAGGTAGATAGTTAACAATGAGGGGCTTCCTAGCAGATGATGTACTTTGAAATATGTAATAGCCTAAAAACTAGTACAAAAAGAATAGGTAACCATACTGCTCAAATAGTATACTAGTTAGGTATATATAGGAGGTAAGTTAGGGATTCTAATATAACAGAGCAGATAATCAAAAGATTTAAATGAATATTCTTCTAGTAGGTTATAGATATGGCATCTAGTGTAGAACCTTAGAGCAGACTACTTAAATAGGCAACTAAAAGTTGCATGTGTGATTAGCTATACTCTTATTTCTATAAAAATAGTTGTAATAGCTAATCTAATATAAAGTCAATAAAGTATTATTACAAGTATAGTCTTTAACAAAAAAAAAAAAAAAAAATCTTGAAAATATTTTGTAATACAAAGTAAAGATTTGCAAATTGCCTATTTTTGAGATCTGGTCTAGGCTGCATTAGAGTTAAAATTTTTTTGCTAGCCTGACTTGGTTTGTATATAATTAAATTTTTCTTCAGTCTAGCCTAGCCTGACCTGATTTGCAAATTTTTGTATATAATTTTGCAAAATTTTAGGCCTAGCCTGGCTTGCAAATATAAAATTTTGCTTCAAACTCAGCCTAGTCTACAAAAATTTGCAGATTAGGCCAGGCTAGGCCAGGTCAGACTGCAAAACCCAATGTTGGTCTCTAATACAAAGTAAATTATATATATAGAAGATTAAATAAACAAATCTTATTGTTAATTTGCAAATATACATGTCATAAAAATAGGGGTTTAAAAAAAGATTATTTTATCTTTATTAGAGTAAATTAAATTTTTTTTTTTTTTATTATAAAGATATCAACTATTTCATACTATTTACTCAAACTAATATTCAAATACTAATTGTTTTTACTATAATCTAGCTAACTCTTACTCTTACTAGCATATTTGTGCTAATACACTTTTGCTTAACCAAATTATTCAAACATTTACCAATCAAATCATCTTTAGCAAATTACCTGATCTTGATACTTACCAAAAAAATAATCTAATTCATAATATCCTTTATTACTCAGCTCTTAATTCTTTATACATCTTATCTAACACATTTTATTCTAATCTTACTTTTAAAAGACTTATTTAAAATTATTCATATCAATAGTTCAAAACTTTGACATATCATACAAAACTACCTCTCAAGTTATTATCAATATTCTTCTCAATATTAATAAACAATTATTTGAACAATTATGGAAAACATATTGCATTTATTTTTCTAACTGAAAAAACCAATAAAATAGATCTCAATCTCAACCAATCAACAATTATTATGAAGTTATATTCAAGCACTTTCCTTTGTAGATCCCTTGACCAAAATTCACAGAAAGCAAAAACATAAAATAACACTAAAACACACAAGCAAGCAATACATAAAGCACTAAGAAAATAGATAAAAAACATAGAGATACAGCTAACCAACTTAGAAACAAGAAATAAACTAAAGCAGCAACAAGCAACAACAAGGAAACCAATTTTCAGTAAACTTAAATAAGCAAAATTAGCATATAGAAGTAAAACAAAACAGATTGAATAAACCTATACAAAGCTATTAAAGAAAGGTTTAGTATAAAGAAATACAAGCTTTTTATCAATATGCCAATATAGATACAGTATTCTTCAATAAGGTTCTTAATTAGTTTTAACCTGACTTAAAAAGTTTGCAAAATTTTGTTATTATTTTTGAAAAAATAAAAAATCACTCTAAACTCTGAAAACAAACAGTTAGAACATGTAGTTAGCTAACAACAAAATAACAACAAACACAGCATACTATACAAACAATGATACTATCCTAATTAGGAAATAATAAATAAAGTTTTTATGTGTACTGCTAAGCAAATGGAAAAACAACAAACTAAAATAGAAACAGAAGTACAGTGCAGACTAGGCCTTCCAGGTGACACAGAATTAATACAACATATAAGAGGTTTTGGTAATAGAAATAGAAGATACATAGATAGCAGAATATTAAATAAAATATTATCAAAGAGAATAGATAACCCTAGCAATTTAGAGTATATAATGAAAGATCTTACAATTTATGACACAAAAAATATTATAATAGGTAATATACTTCTTTATGAGCAAGTACTTGAAGCACTCAAAAGAGCAGAGACCTTTTTATTAACAAGAAACACAAAAGAAGAATGGGCAAGTAAGCTTTTAGCAATAGATCAAAACCCAAAATTATTTAACTACTTGTTGAACATGAAAAGTAAAGAAATACCAAAAGAAGAAGCAAAAATAGAAGAAATAGAAAGAGGTGAAAATATGGAAAACATGAATATAGTTTATGTTGAAAAGAAGAGACAACAATATGAAATAAGCAGTAATGAAGAAGCCAGCACAAATCTAAGTATAGTCATCAACTAAATGCAAGATCTTAGCATATCAACATTATTATATAGAGAACCAATTGCATCAGATTTTCTGTAGCAAATAAAAAAAGAAAAAACAGTAGATAAAAATAAAAAGAGTATAAGGTTAATAACAGAGAAAAATCATGAAATGCCAATACTTGTAGACACAATAGAACAAAGCTAGTGGTTTCCAACAAATTGTATATGTGACAAGAGCAAATCATTCAAAGCAAATATGCCAACATATGCAATACCAGGTGCAAATAAAGAAGAAAGACTAAAATACACACAATGGATCCTACATGATAATCATTATATTAAGACAATTAAAGAGGTTTTCAAAAACAAGAACAGTTGGATTGAGATAGATATTAACTGTGAATTCAGTAGAGACACAGCAATAGATAGAATCAAAGAAAAAGAAAGAGATTGGCTTAAACTAATTCCAGAAAAATTAAAAAGTCAAGAAAAGAAACTGAGCTGCCATACAGTAAATAACAGTAGAAAGGACAAAAATAAACCTAAAAAATACAAGAAATTTAATGAAAAGGAAAATGATAAAAATGCATACCTAGCAGAAGATGAATCAGAGCTATACACATGCCTAACAATATGGGATCTACTGGCAAACATCAATACAGAAGAAGTAGAATATATGTATAGAAACCTCAAAAAAACTTAAATTAAATGCATTAGAAGATCCAAATATAAAGCTTTAGCTATAGTTAAGGTGGAAAATATAAAAGAAGAAAATGTATCATGGTCCTTACCAATCAGCATACACTAGTACCCTAGCCATGGCAAAGAAAATTCGAGTCACGTGGCAATGATTATCTGATTCTATCCAATTAGATTCACAGTTAATTTTATTACACATGTCTGAAACAGGAGGAAATGTACCCGATCCAAAGTGAATCCCACACATGTTGTAATTAATTAAAATTAAAATTATTTATTTTAGCTTTAATTGATTACACTGTGTGTAGGATTCACTTTGGATCAGGTACATTTTCTTCTGTTCATGTCTGATGATCGATTATGATAAAGTTTTTTTTAATTATTACAGTTTGTAAGATGAAAAATTAATTAGTTGTAAAACTTAGTAGTTTTTAAATTCAGTTTTTTCGTACACATAATTGATTTTTATAACTGATTGTCCTTATAAATTAAATTCAGTAGGTAGACCTGTGGGTCAATAGCGAAGTGGTTACGCTCCCAGGTCACCAATCGTAAGGTTGCCGGTTCAAGTCTAATGGGGGACAAAAACTGAGTTAGGACCATGATTGTTAATTAACTACATCAGATGATGTCTTACGAAATTAGGAAGATCTTTAGTACCCAGATCCTTAAATGGCGACAGACCTGACATAAGAAGGCCGCAATGATTAGGAGGCTGAGGATAAAAATAGAACAAAGGAATCCCCGATTAGGACAATCCCGGTGAAATTCCAGGGTAATAGGAACACAAATTGAATATAGATAGTACCGTAAATGTACACAAACTAAAAATGTAAAATGTAGACAGGGTCCTGATAGAAGGTTCTGTGAACTTGAAATTTGAACTAATAAAACAGCTGCCAGCTGCGGACCACTAGCGATCAAGCAGTGGAAATTTAAAAAAAAAAAAAAATTCAGTAGGTTATTTTATTGAAGGTAAAAAAAAACATCACTTATATAATTTATATAATTAGTATATACAGTTAATAAATATCTTTTTTTTAGGTACAAACTCAACATATACTTAGGGATGGGCAAATTTTGTAAGTTACATTGTAACTTACATAATAACTTACACAATTTTGCAAACTTACACTAAGATACATATTGTAACTTACATGTAACTTACACATAACTTACATCAAAAATTTGAAACTTACGCAAAATTCTCATGCTTCGCTGTATGAATTGTAATTGGTTTTTGATCTAACTAAATAAGAGAAGTGTTATTTGAATTTTATTATTGTAAAACCAATTATATTATAACCTTAATTTTTTTATAAGCCAGGCCTTTAACTAACATAACCAAATAGCAAGTTTTCCTTTAGATTTTCAGGTAGTTTGCTATTTATAGACTTGTAATACTGCTTTGCATTTTTCAATCTCTTTCAATAATGATACCATCAATGCATTAAAATTTTTTATGAAGTTATCATTATCCATCTCTTGCTGGTATAGTTCTAATGCAGCATTAAATTTTTTTTTATAATAAGTGTACTTTTCTCTTCTTTTTCTCATTATATTATGATTTACTACTAATTTATCTTGCAAAACACTTAAGCTGAAATTAACTTCAACAGAATTGTGATCTGTATTTATTATGCAAAGCCTAGTCCAAGGATTGTTGATTGGATTAATTATTGGTATTTGATCATTGCCAAAAATAAGTAGTGGATAATCATGTTATTGTGATATTTCCAAAAAGGTTGGCAAAAAATGTTTATTATTTTTCTTATTTATAAGATGTTTACAAAGATGGTAACAACTATGTAAATATGCTGGGCAAGAGCACACCCAGTTATTTACATTGATATAGTATTTTTCATTTATATTAGGCTGAATATCTGCTATTGCTGCTTTATGCTATTCTGCTTTAAACTCATGCCATCATGCTGGAAAAGTTCTATTTCTATTATACTAAGTTAGCTTAATTTCAAAATTAGGAATAAGCTGCTTAGTTATTATTTGAGTAAGTTTATCTATGCGTGGTCAGTTATAGTTATATTTATAGTTATATTTAAGAACTCTCCAATGACTTTCAGTAATCATTGTAGTATGTGCAAATGGCATAGCTAGTGAATACAAAGATAAAGCAAACAGTTTCCAGTTCTTTTTATTATATCAGTTTGTCTATAAATAACCCCATAACTTAACAAGATTATGCAAATGACAAAACTAATATATTTCTTGGACACAAAAACGATATATTTCTGCTAAAGTCATATAAGAGTTTTTTTCAACAGGGATAAGGAGATGCATTGATGAATGTTTTTTGATTATATTTAAAATTTCTTTAACATACTTATCTGAGCAGAAGGATCTGATACCACCTTGAATTCACAATGGATTGATAAAATCAAATTTTCGATGTGCTTCTAATGCCTTAGTTCCAAAGTATATACTTGTTTTTGATTTTTTTTCTTTTAATTTTCAGTCAATTGCATGTAAAATATGCCAGTGACAAATTTGAATACTGGCTGTCCATGACTAAGCCTTACTAACAGAAGAGATTTCTCCTGCATCCTTATCTGTAAGCATAAATATTGGCAGCAAGCCCTCTTAGTGAAGACTAATAAAAAACATATGTAGTACTTCGACACGACTTTTTGCAAAATTTATAGGATTATTTCTAGCTTTTTTAGTACCATCTGAAGTAAACAGATACATGTATGCTATTGGCATACCATACCTGCCACAGTTTAGATTTACGACAAATAGCTCAAACCTTTTCTTATTTGTTTTAAAAGTTGAGTTTATAACAATTTCTGTTGCATTTTTTATATCAACATGTTTAAACAGTAGTGTCAAAAATCCTAAAACCTGCACAAAGTCAGTTTCAAAATAGGTAAGAACTTTAAACCCTTTTTCTATAAATTTAGATTGTTCAAAGTATAACTTTGCAAATAAAAGTGAATTATCATTATTAATCATATAGGTGCTTTTACTACAAGTATATATCCAGTAGTATACTTGTTCAATTGTATGGATTTCTGGATTAATAAGTTTACTTTACAGAGACAATGATATATTTTTGTACATCTTATATTAAATGAAACATTATTTTGAATCCATTTTCTTGCTTCGATTGGAAACTCTATTTGCCAGTAAGTTGGTTTTGTATGTACAACATTATGATGTCTTTGAACTAAAATATATTGCTCTTCTGGAATTATAGTGAGCTTTATATTATCTAAACAGGCATACCTTTCTATAGGTGCACGAGCTTCGCTAACTCTTTTAGGTAGTTGACTATCTATTTTTTTCTATGCTTGATCCTCTCGCATTGTGCAGCCAAGATATATGGTTGCAGAACCCGAGAATTTTTTTTTTCAGATATTTAGATATGTTTTGCATACCTCCCAATAATAGCCAGATTCTAACTCAAGTGGCATGATAAATGTATAGGCAAGTTGAAGAAATCTATTCTCAATTGTTTTTAGATCATTACTATCTAAATCAAGTTTAGTCAAAGAAATGGTAGAAAGAATATCTTGGTCTATTTCAATCTCGTATACAAATTTTATAGATTTATTCTGTGCTTCTGCTTCTTCAATTATTTTTGTTATAACTTCTTGCATTTCATCCAGGTTATAACATAATACTTTTAGGCTATTATCATCTTGGTTATCATACTCATCCTCTTTATTTTCATATTAGAGTTTATTAATAGAGCTTTCAAGACCGAAATCTAGGTTTTCTGAACCTTCATTCATACTAGAATCAGTTTGAGTTATTTCATGACTTTTTAAATTTTTACTTTGATTTAATTTAGAGGTTGACTTTTTTTTCCTTTATTTTTTAGATGGCATTGGTTACATGTATCATGCTCATGATGTGAACCATTTCTAGAAAGGTGCCAAAATTCATTCAAAATCTTCATAGAATGGCAGCCATTACACCACTTTTTAAGATTTTGTGCTGGTGTTTCTATATAAAAAAAATTATTTAATTTACTTAGTAACAAACAAAATCAATGCTAATTAATTCGTATTCTAATTAATTTATACCTTGAATTATATTAATATCACTTATTTTACTATATTTAATTCAGATGAAAAAAGTTTTTAGAAAGGTCTAATCTATTTGAATAGAGTTTATAATTGGGTTATTTCTAGAATTCAATTGACTTTTAATATAACTTAAGTATTTTGAAGTGAAGATGATTAAGACTTTTTAAATTTTTTTTTTATTTTATTTTATTTTTAAAGCGGCAATCTTGCCTGTCTGTCTTTATTGGATAATATATCATTATTCAAGTATATACAAAGTCTATCAATGAAAGTACAACTAGTCATATATATAACTTTAGTCATTATCTAATTAAGGGTTCCACCCAAGGGTTACCCACTAGCTGTCATATCTGAGATCTACTTGTGAATCCTCTATTTAAACTTTCTGATTTCAATTCTATTGCATATATGCAATGCTTCTATTACCGCATGAACATGCCAGGTTAGGGCTATCTAATTACTATTTATATCAAGGTATTACCTTATTGGATGTTACCAGGTATCCATAGTCCCTCGAATTTATCCTCGACGCAGACTTACTAAGTATAGTACCAAGATTACCCCTTATATTTATCCAATTTTAGTAGATCCTGTATCTACTAGAACCAGTTTGGTGCCAGAAGTGTTCGAATTTCGGTAAGTCCATTCCTTTTTCATAGTTTTCTTTTATGTTTACCATATCACCTGCTAGTGCACCTTCTCTCTATTTCTGGTATGTTTACTGCTTCTCTCATATCGAGCACCAACTCTCCATATCAGAAATTTTTTTTCCGAAAACTTCCTTATATACCGATCTTCTAATCATATAGACTTAACCACAAGACTTTGCATACATTCATATGCTTCTGTAGATTACAGAGTTGCCTCCAGCTGAGATTGAACCGTCAACCTTGTCTATGAAGGGAGGGGTGCCTAGACCACTAGACTATGGGACCCCATTCCTAATTAAAACTTTTTAATATAACTTTGGTATTTTGGAGTGAAGATGATTAAGACTTTTTAATATAACTTTGGTATTTAAAGCAAA